CGAAAAAAAATGTTAATAGAACCCTATAATCAAAATATTTAAACTATAAGCTTGATTTCAAGTTTCAAACACAAATAATCACTAACTATTAAGTATTGACCCTAAATCCCTAATTAAACAAACATAATCTCTATTCATTAATTTTCATTTTTTCAAGTTTTAACAATCAATATAATGCCAAAATCTGTGATAAATATGATGGATAATAAAGAACATAAATATAAGAAATTTGGTATATTTTAGTTTTTTTTTTTCTTTTTAGTTTGATTCACCTCCAAAAAAAGGTTTGTGAGACATAATATAAAAACATTATATATATATATATATATATATATATATATATATATATATATATATATATGTATATATATGATATCATAATGTATATGTATTAGTTGTCCAGTGTCTTGATGACTTAATTCCTATGAGTCTATGAGTCTATGACCTATGAGCGAATCTTATCATAATTAAAGATAAACAATAAAATACAATAATTGATATAGTAAAGCCAAAATGCCAAATTGAATTAATTAATCAACAAGAAACATGGACAATTTATAAAGGGGAATATGACTTATCAAGGTAATTAACTTTTCAGTATGTTCACATATGGGTAACTATCTTTTTTTTGTACATATGTAGGTAACAAACTTTTTGGGAGTGTTCACATATGACCATTATGACCTGCTATAACAGGTTAAATCCTAAATGTGAACGCTTTCAACAAGTTTGTTACCTAGATGTGTAAAAAAAAATAATTACCCAAATATGAACAAAACGAAAAGTAAAAATTAAATTACATGAATGGTCCCTGTAGTTTGGGGGAATTTGTGGTTTTGGTCTCTAAGTATTTTTTTAAATTTAAATGGTTCCTATTGTTTATTTTTGTTGCGCTTTATGTCCCCATCTTACCTAAAAATACTATTGTGCCCTTATTAATTTATTTTTTTTAATTAATTTTCTTATCTATGTTTATTTTTTACATATTTATAAAAATTAATATACCACACATATTTGTATCTCCTCGGATGATCCCTACTATTTATTTTTTAATTAATTTAATTTTTTAACTCGGATGGTCCCTACTATTTAATTTTGTTACGAACTTGGTCTCTGTCTTACCTAAAAAGACTATTGTGCCCTTATTAATTTTTTTTAAATTAATTTTCTTGTTTATGTACTTATGCTTTATATGTTTAAGAAAAAATAGTAGACCTCACATATCTGTATCTCTTCACCATCCCATCTTTCATCATTCTCAACTTCTATTTATTTTTCATCTTTAGTGATATCGACGTCTTCATCATCACTTCTTTTTTGTAGTCCTTCAACTCCATCGAAACAACACCACAACCCACTAAATATGAAGAGACAGTAGGTTATGGTGTTGGTTCTCCAGAGTTGAAGTACCAAAAAAAAAGAAGGACGGTGAAGACGTTGATGTTACTAAAGATGGAAAAGAAATAGAAGATGGAGAAAATCAGAGATGAGATGGTGAATGGTAAGACTCAAATTAAATTTCTCAAATGTGATTTCAGGTTTACGGTGATAAGATACATATATGTGAGGTATATTAATTTTTTTTATAAAAAATAAATACATAAATAAGAACATTAATTTAAAAAATTAATAAGGGAAAAATAGTATTTTTAGATAAGACAGAGACCAAACGCGTAACAAAAATAAACAGTAAGGATCATCCAAGTTAAAAAAAAAAAATTAATTAAAAATAAACAGTAGAGATCATCCGACGAGATACAAATATGTGTGGTCTATTAATTTTTTTTAAATATGTATAAAATAAATACATTATTTAAAAAAATTAATTAAAAAAATAATTTAATAAGGGCACAATAGTATTTTTAGGTAAGACGGGACCAAACGCGCAACAAAAATAAATAGTAGGGACCATTTAAGTTAAAAAAATAAATTAGGGACCAAAACCACAAATTCCCCCAAACCACAGGGACCATTCATGTAATTTAATTTTTAATTTTCATTCTGTTCATATTTGGGTAACTATTTTTTTTTATACACATCTAGGTAACAAACTTGTTGAAAGAGTTCATATCTAGGATTTAACCTGCTATAGCAAGTCATAATGGTCGTATGTGAACACTTCCAAAAAGTTTGTTACCTACATATGTACAAAAAAAAGATAGTTACCCAGATGTGAACATACCGAAAAAGTTAATTACCTTCATAAGTCATATTCCCTTTATAAAGTAAATATGCTTACTTGCTTCATTGTTTGCCGATTGACAGTGCTATTGACAATTGAGAATGACGATAATGGCGGGCAGTAGGGCGAAGGTAGGCAGCAGGAGGTTCGATCAAGACTTATGTCTTGTTTTGCACGTTATTTTTTTTTTAAAATAAATGGGTACAAGATTTGGATTTGGTTATTTCTTGTCATTAAATGATTAGGCTTATAGATTTTAGGGTATTTTAAAAGAACCGACCATTAAATTTGGACTTTAAATATTTTAGAATTATAATATAAGGTAACCTTTATTTTTTACCGAGGTAGCACCGTAATATATTTTTTTTAAACGAAAAATATGTACTTCTAGACGAAATTTGAAGGGTCACACGGGCTACCCCGTGCAACAACGTGGATCCTCCCCTGGTTCTTGAGCATTTGAAGAGGTTGAAGATTGTTAAAGGATCATCTTTCGAAGTGGGGCTTGTAGATCCAAAAGTTTCTCATCCTTTGTCATCTATTGAAGGTAAAAAGCTCTCATATTGGCATCTCTTTGGTTAGATCTTGTTTGCGGTGGTTTTGGGTCCCTTTGGTTTGTATTTATGAGTTTGATCTTGCCCCAAAATTTGGACACTAGATTTGGACATTTTAGGTGTCCCAAATGCATAAAAATGTGATCTTGATAGTTGATATCAAATTATGCATGTGGTTTAGACTTTTCAATGAAGTTGGAAAGTAAGAACTTAGATTTGGGACCCACTGAGCCATTCAAAAGCTTAAAGTTAAACAACTTTATGAATTAAGGCATGTTTTGGATCTAGATCGGAGCATTAGACGTCTTGTCTTAAGGGATTAAGTCATATTCTAGGTTTGTTGTTGGCAGGGTCACTATGGGGGGCTTACCTCCTTGTGTGCGGGGCGTACTGAGTTTCTTGGGTGTATGTTTAGCGTACCAACTGAGTACACGGGGTGTACTCAGTCATATGAGATTTTGCATTTGGGCTTCAAGTTTGGGCTTGGGTGTTTGAATTTTTAATGGTCCATCTGGGTATAAGTGTTTTGGACTAGGAAATTGGTTGGGCTTTAGGGTAAGACCCATGTAAGGGGTTTGGGCCCAATTTGGAAAATTGGGCCATATTTGGGCTTTGGTTGATTATCTGGCTTTTGGTCCTTTCAGGTTGCGAGTTTGGGCCTTAGTCTTGGACTAAGTTAGGTTAGGGGTAAATGGTCTTTTTTACCCTAAGTATGGATTGGAACTCAAATGTTGATTGGGTGTTGTTTTGATACTGACAGTTCGGGGATCTATCAACCAGCAACCAGGGATCGTCTGTATGGTTCGACAGTGCGATGTGAGTTTTCCTCATTGTATTTACGGGTCGAAGGCACCAAGGTCGGCCCATCAGTTTGATATCCTATTATCCTCTGATATGTTGAGTATGGATTAGATGTGCATGATTATGCTAGTTGTCGATATGATGGTCTGGTGGATCTGTAGGACTACCTATGATTTTGTCTATATGATTATCAGCATATGTATGGTATTGTATTGGGTTGAGGTTGTACTGCTTTGTTATGTAGCCAACAAACCATGGAGCATTCCAGATATGAGCTGAGGGCAGAGTAGGGCAAGCTAGACTTATACGGAGCGCTCAGTAGCATTCTATATACGACCTGAGGACCGGGTGGTATGCCAAACTTGTACCGAGGGCTAAACATTAGTATTCTAGTCTGATTATTGAGGGAGTAAGCCATACATATGGTGTGGGCCCCGAGGGCAATCCATTCTTATGTTGTGGGCTCGGGAGAAAGCCAGATATGAGCTGTAGGCCTGATAGGTAAGCCAGACTCATACTGTGGGCTTAGAGGTAATCCAGTCTTTTAGTTGTGGACCCATTGTATGTTGTTATTTGTATATGTTATCTGTTTGTGTGTTGGTACTTTGAGGGAATTCACTAAGCTATGTGTTTACAATTTTGGTTTATGGTTTCTCATAGAATCGTGACAAGCTGAAGGCGTGACCGTACACATGCCGATTTTATGTCATTGGTCTTGGGAGGCACTGCTTTTCAAATAATGTTTTTGAAACAATATTTTTGTATACATTTTTATTAGTAAATTGGTTGTTTTGAAAAGTTTTAGTTGATTGAAAATTTTGGGATGTTACAAGTAATATGGATGAAACCGTAAAAATACATGAGCTTGGGCCTGAGCAGGCGCCACGCCGTGGTGACCCTCGAAAATACATGTTCCATAAGTATCACGCCACATCGTGGGCATCTAAGCCCCACGTCGTGGCTGAGGTTCTGCTCCAAAAATCCTTATTTGATTCCTTAATTTTTACCCGCCTTCTTCGGAAAATGGGATTTTACATATCGAGATTTTCAGGATGATCACAAAACACCTACATAGTCTGGAATACGCGATTAGTTGTATCTCGATAGCTAACCATATACCAATGCTTTTTTCATAAAACCCAAAATATTGTTTTCTTTAATTTGTCATTTGACATGATTGATACAAAATCAAATACACCTGGCCCGTATTTTTACATTTTTGTTAATAGTTGTATATAATTTTCGGAAATACATAAAACTCTTGTACAACCATCCATTGTACTCATACATGTCCTTACGGGCATCATAGTTTCATGCTTAGTGACCTATACAACCATACGTGTTCATCTCAAGCATCTTGCTTTGTTTCATGAGTATTCCCCCATTTTGATTTTTAGTATGTTGTACAAAACCCTAGAAATCACTATTCCACCAAAAGCTCTTATAACTCTTTTTCTTGTATAGAGTGAGTGATCAAAATCACCATTAGTGATACATGACGAGGGGCAACATTATTATTTATTTCCCAACAAAATGTGTATTGCCACGTCTAAAAGAATACAACCTCAAAAATATATTTCCTTTTCTTTTTTGGGCACCGATCATAATTAAATTATAAAACTATAAAATCCTAACGCAGAACCTCCCAAACTCCCTTCGTTCGCCTCTCATGGCAGTTTGCTCTGCCTCCGCCACCGCCATCGGTTGCTAGTCGTCGTAATCGGTGTCGGCGTCCGATTTGCCGAAAGCATCAACGCGATACGTCGACCTAGGTTTTCTAGGGGGGAGGGAGAGATAATAAGGAACGATTTTTGTTTGTGAAAATTAGATATATAATACGATGGCGAAGAAGAGGAAATCGTTGGCAACGAGCCTAGACGAGGTCGATCGGACTATGTATTCGACGTTTTGCAACGCCGCCAACTCTCTCTCTCAGCTTTACTCACAGGCCATGAGCCAACAAAAGCTCTCATTTCTATCCGGTGAACGCCATGGATTGGTATATCAGATTATAGATTATTTCCTGTTATTTGATTATGTTTTTTTTCCTGATCTTACTTCATTTCCAAAAACCCTAGTTTTTTGCTTCCTGTTTTTTTACCCAACGTAACCGACGTGTTTATGCACACCACACCGATCTTTTTCTATGATTTGGTAGCTTCGAAATCGGCCTGTATTAGTATTACCAAATTGATTAGGTTATTCTTATTTCCATTTCGCCTTTTTCTGTTCGAGGGCAAGTATCACATCTCCTTCATTGTATTTGCCAATTATCATGAACTCCAATCCTGATAGTGCTGGATTCAACCAAATCTTTGATGTGATTAGCACAATTTGTCATAGACACAAGTTTTCTTCTTCTTTATGTAGACACATCACACATGTTCCTTTTATGAATGCTGAAACTGCAAAATCATGAACTGGTTGAGTAACGAGTACCTTGAATACTTTTTTGTTTATGATCTATGGCTCTGTGTTTCCTCTGTGGTGAGATTACTTGTTTATATGTGGGTTTGCTTTAGATTGTAACCTGTAATCGATGAAATTAACTGTAAATGACACTTAAAAAAGGTTGAATCTTGTTGACTTGAATTAAAATTCCATTTTCAGGAAAAGCTATATCAATGGATTTCCAAGCAATATGCAGAAGGATTGAGAGTGACCACTGAAGACATACTTGCTTATATCCAGGTTACCATGTTATTATACATGAGACTTTTGATTACAAAATTACTTATTTACCCCTATAACATACATACATAATGTGCAGGCTGAGTTAGAATCTTCAGTGGAGGAGCCGCCAATAGCTCCAAGAACATTGCAGCAGCCGCAAACACAAGTGACAAATCCGTTCATAAATTCAGGGCCATCCAATGTGCCAGGTGGCGTACAAGGTTTCCGAGGTGAGCTGTGTGATCAGCCGTCAAAAAACTACATATTTTCTAATGCTTTATCAAGCCCTGTTCGTCGCAGCCTTCAAAGCTATCATCATATATCATCATCATCATCATCACCATCATCATCTCATGAACATCAGAATTTTGATTCTTCAATGGATGCAGATAATACTACAGGTCATGATTCTACTCTTTGAATCTTTTTTTTTTTTTTACGGTTTTATGTATACACATTAAAACGTAAAAGAAAATGGAAAAAAAAAAGGTTGTTAAAGAAATTAAACTAGTGGTGAAGGTTGGTGAAGAAAAAATTAGGTGTTTTTTTTTGGTGGCTAGAGAGAGAGAGAGAGAGAGAGAGAGAGAGAGAGAGAGAGAGGGAGAGAGAAAGAAAATGTGAGTTGTGTGGATTTTTGGGTGTTATATGTAAAGTGGTTTTACTTTTACTGTTTTACATGTATGCAAGATTCAAATATTTGGATTGCTACTGTTTATGTGTCTTTTATGCTTTGTATGGTTATATATGAGGCTTAAAGAGTATTTGAAAAAATGACACTATACTTTAGCAATGAAAGGAAAACATAAATGAGGGCAATTTTGTAAAAAGTTAGGTCGTGGAAGCCTCATTCTTTTCTCATAAAGTTGTTCTTTATTGTGTTAAGAAAAAAGAATTCATATTCGTTTCATTTTCCTGAATTAGAAACACATTCTTAAGGTCTCATCAAACTTCAGTTCTTTAATGCAAGAATTACAGTGTGTAATAGTAAAAGTATAAAAATGGTTTTTGTGTCCTTATATTTTACATGGAATAGATAAAATTTCAGAAATAGCTCATGCATAATAGCAAGAAATGTAAAAATGACACCAATGGTCACCGTGTAAAAGGAAAACAAACAGAAATGGGTTGCGTTCAGGAAATAACTTTTTGTATTGTATTACTTAATTCAATTAAAAACAATCTTCTGAATTATTTGAGGGTTCATATGGTTTTCTGAAATCTGGGATATGGTCATTAAGTTTAAAAATACATCTTATTAAATGGTGTATGTGGTTTCAAAACTTTTATCATATATTCCATCCCCCACATAAAATATTATAAACTTTTAAAAATCGTGTTGTGTTCGGGATGGTGTGTCAAAATATACCAACCCAAACACAACTTATTTAATTATACTGGTAACGGGTTGGTGGGTTTGGAACATAAACCCATAAATGACCCATCAACCCATTTATTTATATGAGTTCATAGGTTGGCGGGTTCGTGTGTCAGATTTGGTTTCGTATGTTCGTGAGTCAAATTCCATAAAATAAAATTGATAATTAAATATCAATAAATTCTTGATACAAACATATCCGAATTTTAGAAACGTAAGTCTTAAACATGCAAATGAAATTTATAAACATTCATCGAAACTTGTTCAAATGAAAACATTAATACAAATATAAATAAATTCAATTGCAGGCGTCGACATCGTTCGATAATGATTCAATTGTTCATGTTGTCATTTTTATGGGCTAGTTATATTATTTAGGGCAAACATCAAACCCGTTCCAATACAAATCAACAGATGATTACCCCCGGGTTAAATAATCAATGATATTATGTATCATATCCTAGCATAAAGTATAAAATGTTTAGTGTATAATACTTCATAAATTTAAAAAATATATAATTTTTTTTATTTAAAATTCTAAACGGGTTGGCGGGTCAACCCGTTATTTTTTGAGAAACCCATATATGACCTGTTTAATAGACGGGTTGAAAAACTCAACTCATACCCGTTTATTTCGTGTCGTGTCACAAGTTGTGTTGCGGATCGTATCGAGAATTGCCAAACCTACATAAAAAAAGCTTATATATCATTTTTTATATATTTTTGTTTTTCTTTAAAAAAAATAACCCACCTCTCTCTCTCTCTCTGTGTGTGGAAGCATCTTCTTCTATCTTTGAATCCTTCATATTTGTATAACACACATACATACACACACTGCTTGCACCTTGCTGCCACCACAATCAATAATCTATCAAAATTGTCTTTAAAACAAATAAATCAAAATCGACTTCATGAAATTGAGAGATAGGCTTTATTTATTTATTTTTAAAAATAGAATTAAATAAAGAAAATCAAATTTATATTAAAACAATATAAGTCTGTTTATGTGGATGATGAACTATTTGTTAAAAGTTTTGAAACCACTCAAACCATTCATGAGGTTTTTAAAACTTATTAGTTTAAAAATAAAGTTTACTCTTGAATTTTCTAATTAGTTTTGTTAAAGTTAAATGTTTGGTCGATAGAAGTGTAAGTATAGGTGTGAATATGAGATAGGTGTGGGGTGGATGTTGGAAAAAGGTATGTTTGTTGATATAGGTGTGGACATAGTTGATTACCCTCTCACACTAAGGTGCTGTTTGTTTTTTCTGAGGCAAAATGTCTGCAGTCTGCGGACCACATCTGTAGACCTCTGCAGTAGAAGAGGTGGACCAAACGTCTGCAGTCTGAAAAAAGAAGATTGTTTGTTTTTTGAACATCTGCGGGCTACTAAAATAAACTTAAATCTAAATAAACTGATTTTTTTAAACGTCAAAGTGATTTTTTAATATTTTTATGACTTTGTTATAGATATTTAACGAATCTAGATCAAACTTTTATGTATTATTGTATAAAAAATATAAAAAAATGGTATGAATTAACGTATATATTTGATAAAAACGAACAACTTTGGTCGTAAAGTTATACCTAAACATTATAATTAGTGATCAAAGAATTTGATACATAAATAGATGAAAATAAATTTCAATTTTTTTCAATTAAATCCATTAAAACGTACCATAAATATTTTCTCGAGGAATTGGCGATAGTGTATTAAATAATGTTTTATAAAATTTGGCAAAAAAAATATAAGAATATATTATGATTTTTTTTTTCATATTTATATAAACAACTTCAACGACTATTATTGTAATAAATCTTTATTTATAAATTTGTCAAAAATATCATGTTTGTATCATCGAACGTTTTTTTTAAGTTTTGTAATTTTTTTCAAATTGTTTATCGTTAATAAAGTTAGAAAATTTTATAAATTAAAAAAACCTTAAAATAAATAAAGATATATATGTTTTTTTAGGCTAAAAGATGTCTGAAGATGTTAGAAGACTCTGGTCCACATCTGCGCCAAGAAGAGGGCACGCAGACATTTTTAGGTCTGCAGTCTTCAAAAAACAAACAGTCTGCAAAGGCTAATGTCTGCGCGTGGTCTGCGCGGCGCAGACAGAAGAGGCAATGCAAATCTGCAGACAAAAAATAAACACTACTTAAAATAACAAAATAAGAACATCTGTAGTATTTTGTTTCTACATGATATAAGCCTAGTTTCAATCGTTTAAAAATAGTTTCTGATTGAGGTTAAATGTTTCTAGGATGGTGAGATCGATATAGGTATTGTGTATTGGAGTAATATAATGGTCAGACCCGGTTTTAAGAGAGAGAGGGGGGGGGGGGGGGGGGGAAGAGGGGCAGCCACACAGGACCCCGAAAAAAATAGGGTCCGCGTTTTAATTAAATTATATATTTAATAACTAAATATATATGATTTTATTCAAAATATTTCATATAGTTTGGGTAGCCCAATTGACAAAGACGTGTCTTTTTATTCAAAAACAATGTAGGTTTGATCATTTTTCACAACATTTTGATGTTTTAAATTCAAGTTACACATTTGACAATTTCTTTATGTTATATATTTATAATCAACATCTCATTCCAATATGTTTAACAAGTCAGTTTTCAGAAGTTACATAGTTAGCCTTTGAACTTTTGATAAAATTCCATACGTTCCTTTTTAATTAATTTATTTACTTTTAAGTTTTTCGTAACGATAATTCACCGTCTTAAATTTGTTTTTCTTATATATTAAAAAATTGTATTTAGAGTCCCATTTTTCTTCTTAACACAGGGCCCGTAAAATAATAGAGCCAACCCTTATAATTGTTTAGGCTATCTCTAATCATACACTAAATTCACCTTTAAACTAAAATACTCCAACCTCACCACTAAACATAAAACTATATATAGTGTACAACACTAAATATATTGTTACATTGTATATCAAAACTATCTTTTATACTATATAAGTCGGATAATATAGTAGGTTGGAGAGAATTTAGTGGTCACACTATCTTTTCCATTATACCATTATAATAATAAGTTTAGTATAAATAATGAGTTTAGTATAAAGATAATATTAAAGGTAAGATAGATCTTAATTATAAAAACAAGCCAAAATTATATGTTTTGTTTTAGGTTATAATGTATGATGTTTCGAATACAAGGATGTGTCATGCCAAGTATATTTGCTTTAGGTTGCAAGTATGATGATTAGATTTGTGTGTTTGGTTGTAAGGATTCTCATAAATTTGATAGAATAAGATTTGAGATTCTATTTTTTTTAGGACATGATTTTAATTTTTTTTAAAACAGAAATATCTTATCTAAAAGTCTTTTTAATTATTTTACACATTTCTAAAACTTATAACTATTTTTGTACATGAATAAAAAAATTATATATTCCAATTTCCAGCTAGTTTTGCTATATATCTTTGTTTATTTTAAAAGTGTTTTATAGACCAAACACCCCTAGTTGAATGCTAAAATTTTCCCAAAGTCTTAACATAGACTAATCGAACTAGTTAAGGTTAAGTTTAAAAATAGGCAAACTCACGTCATACCAAAAAAAAGATTGAGTTAAAATGAATAAATTTTTTTATTTTTATGTTTTTGATGGGACGCGTCAACTAGATGTCTATTTATTTTATTTATTTATTACTTTTTATTTTTTTAAAGTTCTTAACATAAGTTTTATTGTTTAAAAAGAACTCCTGATCTTTAATTTAGTTTTCGTTTTTAACCTTTTTTAAAAAGATAGTGTTTTTACTTGGATTTAAATATAAATGTCTAAGATTGCTATCCAATGTAATGATTGTTTTGATGCTTCTTTGCAAATTTGAAGATATTAAATTTGAAGTAAAAGCCATTTGTGTGCTTTGCAACAAGCCACCTTCCTTTTTGGGCTTTTTGGTTGACAATGCCATTATAACCTCCATGAAGCCACCTCCCTTTTATCATTTAAAAAAACCCATGTCAAAGGTCCCCTTTCTTAGCCATTTCCATTTTCTAAAGATGATTTATAAAAAGCACCAAAATAATTTTTATTCTACTTTTATGACCATGCAAATTATTCCCCCAACATGGTCTTTACCCTTTACATTGTTAGAGTACTTTACTAGTAGTATCTCATGCATTGGAGGTTGTACTTATGATCATTTTGTGCCATGCCAAAATCATCTAGATACAAATGTAGGAAGTCCATAAATAAGAGTAAAATTACATAATCGTCCCTATAATTTGGGATAATTTGCATGTGTCAATGTACAATATAGAACTATTTGTTTAAGCAATGTATGATTGTAAAAATGAACGACCTTCATACATTTTTAAAGGGTGTTACGTTTTCAAAGGTAGTTATTTACTAAAAAAAAGGAATCAAGATGAGATAAATATCTTACTAAGGTTAAAAATGGTTAGATAATTGTTAATATATTCACTATAAGGACAAAAAATAATACTATTATTTTAAATAAAATGATTTAGAAAATTATAAGCATTTTAATTCATCTTGGATGTTTTCATTTCATATAAATGAAATTAAATCGTGATATAGGAACTTTTGTTGTGGTTTAAACTTTAAAGACATTGACTTTATATCGAAAACAAGAATGTAAGCAAAGCAAGTATCTTTACAAGTTATAATTGGAAGGAGAAGGAAAGGTTACACCATTGTCAAATCTTGATCTCAATAATTAATTAAAACTTCGACACCCACAACACAAAAACGTATATTCACTATTCACCCCTTCGAATGTTTCTTCTAATCTCAGCTCTCCTCACACACCGCAGTCTTTCTTTCTGTCAAACGCTTTTCCGGTGATCGGAGGCTACCAACTATCAACTCCGGCGGTGGCACAGACATGTAAGCTGAAATCGTTTCTCAGATCCGTGAGTCCTATTTTTCCTCCATTACATGTATGCTTTTCGTTAATTGAAGCATTCGCGTTTTTTAGGTTTATTTTTTCACACTAAACAAATTAGGATCTTGGGTATGCGGTATTTCTTTCTCTTCCCTTTTTTTCATTTGGGATTTTATTGATTAGTAGTGACGAATCTGATTTTGTGATTAGATCGAAAATATTCTCGACCTTTTTAGGATTTAATTTCGATGTTCCACTAGAGTTTTTTCTTTCGTATGGTTTGCAATCTTCGTTCGCCATTGATTTTGTCGTTAGAATATTTTCAGGTTTCGAGATTGATTAACTAATGCTTTCTTTCGCCATTGTTGATGTTTATTGTAGGCGACCATTAAAGCATTTCAAACAGCTCAATCTAGTTGATTTCAGAAGATTCAATATTTTTTAGGTCTAATTGCCTAGGGAATTACAGTTAATTTCTTCTTTTTCTTTCTCTTTTTTGCAAATGGAAACAGTAATTCAATTCTTCTGTTAATAATTACGTCAATTTCGTTGGCCATAGAGCTTGATTTCAAGTGAAATGGTGTACACTTTTTGGTATCGAACTGATTTTTTCAATAAAATAGTCTTCTTCATGGACCCTTATAATTTCATCCTAAATTCAATGGTGAAGAACTACAATTATCTTCTCTTATCCTCTTCATTTATTTGATTTTCCTCTTTAGAAATTCCTATTTCTTAATGCGCTGTACTTTGAAGGTAATTATGTGATATTTAATAATCAAAATCAGATAATCAGCTGTAAAAAACATGGTACATAAGATAGTGCATAGATTCTTTATTTCTTTTACACTTCAAATTGCAATAATCACTTTTGATAGTGTCATAACGTGGAGTATTTTCCTAAATTTTGATTATTTAAAGAAGTAACAAATAAACTTTACTCTACCTGTCTTTTATTTAAGGGCATTCGTGTCTTTTGCACAGTCCAAAGCCAAATACAGTACAATCTGTTCTGCTATGTTATGTTCAGTCTTTTTCTATTTCTGTTCAGTCTTGTCCTGTCCCTGTCGAACCTTTTTGAATGAGACAAAAAAAAAAAAAAAATACAAGTTTTGTCCCGTTGACATGAATCTTAAATAGTACACTTTTTGTTATGTCTTATTAAGGTGTAAAAGGTTTGAAATAAAGACACAAATTTATGGTGTGCTCAAATGAGAAGAACTGATGTTATTAGCAGTAGAAGGGGGAAGGTTTTTTTCTTCCTCGGCTTCAGGGTATAGCAACGGGCTCAACCTTCTATTTTTAGGTCATAAAAAAGAGGAAAAACCCATGAAAGTTACACCGTGGACCCAATACCATTTGGTGGACCAAGAACCCGACCCAAACCCAAACCCAAACCCAAACCCTAACCAACTGGCTGCCAATAAGAACAACCGTTGTGGCTGCGGGTGCGCTTCCTTAGCCTGTTTTGGTCGCCCCGATACCACCGCTGCCCGACCTGCCCGAGAAGTAGTGAAAACCGCTTCGGATTTGGAAAAAATTGAAGAAAACTTTGGTAACTTAGATTGTGTGGAAAGCGAGGAGGGGAATAGTAATGGCATAAACGTAAATTCTCTTAAAAGTAGCTTGAAAAGACGAGGTGTGGGTGTGGGTGTGAGTGTTTCTGTTAGTAATGATGATGAGGTGGGGCCCGTGGAAAATGAAAGAAGGAGTGTGCATTGGACAGATGTTACGGGTGGAGAACTTTGTGCTATTCGGGAATTTGAGCCAAGGTATCATTAATTTGAGAAGTTTAAATTTTCATTTATCATTTATCACTTAGAAGATGTGGAGGCTTAAATTTTCGTTTATCTAACTCATTTCCATGTGTTATTGTAGTGAACACAGTGATTCGGATGATGAATTTGAAAATAGTAGCGGGAAAACATGTGCGTGCAGGATAATGTAGTTTGAGATTTTAGGTTTGTGTGGTGTGCTCTTTTTTTCACACCAAAAGAGAGATTGATTGGCACTTTTGAAGGAGTAAGTAATGAAAAGCAATGGTCACATCATGTCAACATGCTGACATGATACAACTGTTGTAAATGACACAATGACTTTGTGTGTCTGATTGAATGTGACAGGTTGAGTCATTGTTGTCATTTACAGTGCATACGATATGGGTGTTGTATCATGTCTGCATTATGATATGGTGCTAACGAGTGAGTTCTCTGCGAACGTCTGTTTATATTCCAGTTTTGTTTTTGTTTTTGTTTGTTTTGTCGTAATTAACGTGGTTTTATTTAATTTTGTGATTTGGTGTTAATTTTAGAATTTTGAGGTTTTTTATTTGCTAGTGTTTTACTAGATTACCAATATATGGTTTTAAAAACATGTGTTGTTACGCTAAAGTAATATGCAATGTTTTTTTTGGGTGGTGGCAAAAGGAGCATGTAGAAAATGTTTGAGTATATCCAACACTATATGTAGTTGAAAATTTAAAATGATACATGGATTAAAGTATGGTCTAAAAATGAAAAAAAAAAAATGATGATAGTATAAAATATCATGTAGGAGTAAATGCCAACAAAAGCAACATACTTTTAATTATTCTTATTTTATGTGGAATACCAATATATTTTAGTCACATTATCTAAACTTAAGGAAATATATTAATTCAAGTTAAAATTATTTTAGGTTATGTTATCTTTCTACACAGTTTCATGTGGGCATTTCGGGTTTTGGTGAATAACATAGTCGGGTTTGATTCCAAGTTTCTAACAATGAAGCGGTTTCACTACTTTTAGTCTCATAACCCTAAGAGGGCTCCTTGCTAGTTCTTCAAGTGCTAAGTGCTTGTTTTACTACTCTCAAATGATACACTTTTGGGGTAGTTAGAAATCCATCTTTTAGGGTTTGGAATTTAATACATATGTCTTATACATAATAACAATGTACTTACATTTAATTACCTATAATACCGGTACATATGGGTATCAACCCTAAGAGGGTGGGTGGGGATCCCCAGCTTGATGGGTAATGTTGCCAGGATGAGGACTAATTTTATTACTAGTTATGGTGCTCCCTCTACCAGTTACTACTTGATTAACGTGTTCAAAGCTCTAATGGTCATAACCTAGAAATCTACAAAATCATGACCAATTTGCTAAATCAGTTTTTTTTTTTTTTTAACATTTTAGTTTTAGGGTAGTGGTGAGTGAGTCTTACAAAGCTAATAATAAAGGGCATGTTTGACAAAGTTTTTGATAGCTTTTAGCTTTTAAGAAAAAACTAAAAAAACATTGTTTGAGAGCATAAGTTTTTAATTTTTAATTAAAAAAAAAAGCTCATATTCAAGTAGTAGCTTTTAGCTTTATATAATTTCGCCTTTAAAAGCTTTGAACTACCTGTACAAATCCGTTAATTTTGAAGACCATATGCAAAAGGTAAAGATGAGTTAGTGACTAGGATAAAAAAAAAAAGAACAACCTCTTCATTTACAAATAATAAGTGATGGTAATTAGCAACAAAATTGTGACAGAAGTCTCCTGATCCCAAACGAACAAGTGACTGACTTCAAATGAAAATTTCTGTCTACGAAAAAAATCAATTCCCCTTCACTACATGATTTTGTATGGTCGCACACCCCACACCTCCTGAGGGTCTGCTCTGCACTGCTTTTACCGAACATTTATACACAAATAAAAGTTACATCTACTAGCTAGTTGTGTCAATTAAGTTGATAACATAAATTAATAATAAATGTTAAAATAATGGTAAATATCATTTTACGATGGCTTAGTGGGAAAAAGAAATTCAATAATCATTTGGAAGAAATATGCATGAAAATAAAGTTTTAGGACCATCCGATCTAAATTTTTCGGATTTGGACAAAACCAAAGAGTTGATTTACGTAATTTACTTCAAGTTTTTATATGATAATACGTAACTTTAGGATCCAAACACATTTTGTGCTATTTAATATTATAGTTTATACTAGTATGACTTATATAACAATAAATTTTATATCATTTATTAGGAATAGAATATATAAAACATTATTAATTTCCGAAATTTACCTTACCTTTTTTTTTTTTTCTACAAAGAAAAATCGTAGATGGCTAAAACTCTTCTGATATATTTCTCCAAGACTTGGCCACCCCTGATCCACATACACTTCTCATGATTCTGATCACACCCAAATCAACTCACTATTCCATCCATCTTTCTTAATCCCACAAAATTTTGCCAAAAATTCTTGGAAAAATGTCAGTTGCTTCAATCCAATGCATCAGAATCACAAATTCTTCGTTAAATCCATCATCACCCGCTTCTTCTTCGTCTCCTTCTTCATCAATTGCTCCCGGATTCCCATTTTCAGCAAGCAAACGATCTCTAATTACCATAAGATGTTCTCAAGCTGATGGCCCTTTAAGAAGACCCTCAATTGCTACCCCACCCGTAAGACCTACTCCTCCTACGCCGACTCAGCCGAACCCACCGCCGTCTGTATCTTCACCGCCGGAGACTACGGCGGTGGGCCAGAATGTGGTGACGATGGAGTTTCAGAGACAGAAGGCGAAGGAGCTTCAGGAGTATTTTAAGCAGAAGAAACTTGAAGAAGCTAATCAAGGCCCTTTCTTTGGGTTTATCGGCAAAAATGAAATCTCCAATGGCAGGTTAATACTAAATTATCCATCTTTGTTTCTAATTTTGACTTTTGTGGTCAAATTGGTTATATTATAATCCATGCCTGACATAGATTCTTTCAAAATTAATGCAATCAAAGATATATTCGATTTCATAACCATGATTATGCTCTTCTGGGTTTTACAAATCTTGAAAATCAATTCATGAATGTGTCAAATTCGGATTTGAAAATATGATGAATTTGACTCTTTTTGCTTATTTTGAGCAGATGGGCGATGTTCGGATTTGCAGTTGGGATGTTAACGGAGTATGCAACAGGATCAGATTTTGTTGATCAAGTGAAAATCCTGCTCTCCAATTTCGGCATTGTAGATTTGGAATGAGTCTTTTCTCTATTCCTCTGCATATTACAACTTTCATTTGGAAATTACTTTTATTTTACGTATTCTATTCATGTAACTCCTTATGTTAAAAAAAAGAAAAAAAGAAAAAAGAAATATAGTTGGTTTTGTAACCTTGTTGTTGGCATACTATAATGTCCACCCTTTAGGCAACTCTAAAGAAGAAGACTAGGATGATGAACGAATAACATTTAAAGAACCACAAGAAATGAAGAAACATTTGAAAATTGGCATGAGGTATGTGAATTGTGATCCCTATGGCTCTTAGAAATTACACTTACACAAGTTATGTCGGAACCCAATTCATGTTTTTTGTGGTGCATTTCGTGCAAGCAAATTGTGCTTAATGCCGGTCTAGTCTCGTTCGTTTTGATGATAACAAACATTAAACCTTAATTGTATTAACCTAGTAATCAATTTACTTAGTATGAAGGTAATTAGTAATGATTATATTGATGATGGATCGACAAACTAGTGCTTCAATTCTTCTGAGAATGAAAGAGAAATAGTTGTGGAAAGAGTTCCTCATCTTACTTCAATAATTCAACGAATATATGTACACATGAGAGAAATCTTACCACCACATCTAACTCTAACTAACATGAAGACATAGCCTCTTATTCTAACATAATCAGTTACAACTACTACTAAGTAACAAAGTCAACTATGATGTTGACTTCTTATTCCAATACACGTGAAGAGACCAAGCTTGGATGTAGCATGAAGATGATCATTTTTGGTTAATGATTTTTTTAAGGATATTAGCAGGCCGTGCATCAGTTGGAATATGAGATAATGAAATGAGGCCATCTTGAAGTTTCACGAACAAAATGACAATTAATGTCGATATGTTTAGTGCGTTCATGAAAAACAAGATTTTTAGCAATATGTATAGCATCCATATTGTCACACTTCAATGATATATGAGTGATTTCTGAGACACTGAATTTTGCAAGCAGCCTACTCAACCATGCAAGTTTAGAACATATTTTGTGCATAGATCTATATTCATCTTCTTATGATGACAATGAAATAGTTGCTTGCTTTTTCGACTTCCATGAGATAGGACTGCCTCCCATCATGATAAAATAGCTACTAACAGATCTCATTATAGAAGGGTAAGTGTAACGTCTCAAAAATCACAACATATTTAAACTTTTCAAAACAACCTATTTACTTAAACAAGTGTTTACATAACCATCGTTTTCAAAACATTATTCAAAAACAGAGTCTCCCAAGATCAACAACATAAAAATCAGGATATGTATGGTCATGCATTCGCCTTGTCACGGTACTTTGAAGTACATGAAACAAAACTAAAATTGTAAGCCAACGCTTCGTGAGTTCCCCCAAAGTACCATCACATAAACATAACAATAAACAACATGCAAACAAGAGCAACCAGCCTGATTGGACCGCCTCGTAGGGTATACAACCTATCTGGACCGCTCCATGAGCAATCGGCCTGACCGGACCGCCTCATAGGGCCTACAGCCTATCAGGTCATCCCTGGTGTCTTGGCCTATAACACAAAGTAGGACCGCCTCAACCCAAACCAACATGTCGACATATGCAACAAATAAACATGAACACAAACTCAATAAATACAGATAATCATACAGATCTAACGGATCACAACAACATACAACATACAGTAACTAGGATATCAATCCAATGGGCCAGCCTTGGTGCCTTCGACCCGTAAGTATAGTGAGGAAAACTCACCCCATAGTCTGACGAAAATCTGATCAATACTCTGCTCCTGAATACCAGCTCAACCCAATTCCTAATTGTCAAAACATTTCCATTCTAAAGTAATAAAATTTCCCCACAAATACCCTTGGTCAAGACTGGTTAAAGTCAACAAGTTAACTGAGTCAACATAGTCGAGTTGACTCAGGCTTCTTACGCGGGGCGTACTATGGAGGTATGCAGGGAGTACAAGCATGTTCAAGGCATCAGGGTCAGCTATGTGTATGCACAGCGTACCCTACGGTATGCCCAACATATGCAACAACCCTCCTCTTAGCCTATTAAGCATGTATTTCTTCGACTTAAAACGTCCGATTGCAGATCTAAGGCTAAAATACCATCATGAGTCATAAAGTTTCCAACTTTATGACTTTGCATGGCCATTAAGTGCTTAAAACACAAAATCTCATCATCTTAATGCATTAAGACTTTCTATAGCATGCATGGAGTGAAACTAACCATCAAGACTACATTTTTATGACTTAAGACCCCCCATAAGGTCTAAAAGGATGACTTATTGATCAAGAACATGCCATCCTCAAAAATCACCATATTTGGGACCAAAAAGTGCTCTAAAGGAAGAAATGGAAAGATCTACAAAATAGAGTGATAAAGTTGTGAACTTTTTACCTCCTGGAGGTTGCTAGAAAGTGTGCAATCCTAGATCTAAGTTGCTTCCAAGCTTCAAGGTTCTTGCACCAACATCTCATTCTTCAATAACACTAAAAAGGCACACAAATGAGCTCAAAACACTCTTTCTCACTTAGGGTTTGCTAGAGGGTCAAAATCTCAGATGGGGGCTGATGAGAGAATGATAAATGAGGCTATAATGGTGTTTATATATATGCACCAAACCTTAAAATTTAGGGTTTGAACTTCCTCCACGTAACCTCGTGTCCAGTTCCTCATGGAACTTCTAACAGAATCGGGAAGTGAACCGAACATCTCGATCTGATACAATAGAGATTGGAACCCCATGACGAGCAAAAATCTCCAGAACATACACATTGGCCAACTTTTCGGTCGAAGAGCTCTCCCGGATGGCCAAAAAGTGGTCACTCTTGGTCAATCGATCCACGATGACCCATATAGCATTAAAACCCTTGGCAGTCTTCGACAACTTGGTGATAAAATCCATGGTGATGTATTCTCACTTTTATATGAGAACCTCCAAAGGCTGCAGCTTGTCATGTGGCCTCTGATGCTCGCCATTGACCATCCTACATATCAAATTATCAATCACCTCTCAACGTACTAGGCTATCTCCCTCTTCATACATGACCACCAATAACTTAATCTCAAATCCCGATACATCTTGATGGCTCCTAGGTGTATAGAAAAGTGAGACTTATGAGCCCCCTTCAATACTATCTTCCCGATCCCACCAGAAACTGGAACCCAAACCCGACCACACCGGGTAAACAACCCCCGACTATCGGTGACAAACATGTCAATTTCGCCCCTGATCGTCCCCTGCTTCCAGTTCTCCTTGCTAACTCCCTCTTCATGTGCCTCTCTGATCAAATCCAAAAGTGGGGAATCAATGGATACCCTCATACACATATCCCCACCTGAAGATCCAACCGACTTGCGGCTCAAGGAATCCACTGCCACATTCGCTTTACTCGAATGGTAAATGATCACACAGTCATAATCCTTGACCACGTCCAGCCACCTGCGTTGCCTCATGTTCAGGTTTGGCTGGTCCATAAGACATCGCAAACTCTTGTGATCCGTGTAAACGGTACATATGACCCCATATAGATAATGTCTCTAAATATTGAGGGCAAACACCACTGCCCTCAACTCCAACTCACGAGTAGGATATCTCGCCTCATGCAGCTTCAGTTTCCGTGAAGCATAAGCAATCAATCGTCCCCTCTACATAAGAACCGCCCCTAAACCAGTGATGGATGCATCACAAAATACCACTAAATCCTCGACACATCCTGGAAGGGTCAACATTGGGGACTCACATAACCTTTTTCCCAATGTCTCAAAAGAAATTTGCTGCTCAGGGCCCCATCGAAAATCCACTCCCTTCCTCGTCGAACGAGTGAGGGGTACTGCGATCTTGGAGAAGTCCTGAATAAATCTTCGATAATATCCCGCCAAACCCAAGAAACTCCTGATCTCTGAGGGAGATTTCGGAACCTCCTACTGCATCATGACCTCGATCTTGGTCGGATCGACCAAAATCCCATCCTGGTTAACGATATGTCCTAGGAACTTGACCTCTCGTAACCAAAACTCACACTTCGAGAACTTGGCATACAACCGTTCCCGCCTTAACACCCCCAAAAGCTCTTGAAGGCGCTCCTCGTGCTACTCTCTAGTCTTGGAATACACAAAGATATCATCAATGAACACAATAACTGATCGATCGAGCATCAGCTTGTATACCCGATTCATCAACTTCATAAACACTACAGGCGCATTGGTGCCCAAATGGCATCACCACGAACTTGTAATGCCCATAATGAGTCTGAAACACGGTCTTCTCTACGTCCTCCTCTCTCACCCTCACCTAATGATACCCTGAACACAAATCGATCTTGAAGAACCAAGATGCACCCTGAAAAGGACCCTTAGAGGCCATAAGGTTGCCAACTTTATGGATCTCTTCCTTGCAAACTTCCACAATCATGAAAGAAAAGGGACAAGAACCTAGATCTAGTAACTTAAACTCCCAAAGGTTGAATCTTGGACACTTACAAAAGTCCAGAATGTACACAAGATGATGATGATGAAGCCTCCTTGCTGAACCAACACTATAGAACTTCTTCTTCTTCTTCTTCTTCTTGTAGCCACTAAAACACTAAAATGGATCCAAAACCACCAAGGGTTATTAAGTTTAGGGTTTCTGAATTGGAAGGAGGTGGAGGTTGAGAAATGAACCCTAAAACCTAGTTAAGGGGGATTAAATACGTGGGAAAACATAAAAGTTTGTGGGCGTGGGCTACATCAGCTCTCACATCGTGAGCATCCCTGGCTCACATCGCGAGAAGGGTCCTAATACGCGATCCTTCTTTGGTTTGTCACGTCGTAACCACCTATGGCTCACGTCGTGACAATCAGTTTTCCCCTAATTCGTCTTCAACTTCAAATGATCATAACTTCTTTGTTTCAACTCTGATTCTAACGTTCTTAATATCAATGAAAGATCTTGAAGAGCTCTACAACTCTATCTTATTACTTAGGCTCAACATGTGCCGAACTTATAACCTTAGCCTTTCGCAAGCGGCCCTACACATAATTTCCCCCAGCCCAACCTCGGGTCCAAATACAAAATTTCCAGGCCTTGGTCCCATTGCCAACAATATCATCTTCCAATATGGCCTAAATCTTACTTCTTTAAAGCCCCAAATCCTACACATAACCGAATTACAGTCCACGATCCTAAATCACAGAATGATATAACCAAATTACACTTACATTCCTAATTTATCCTTGAGTTATATGTATAAGTTAACTGTGTGATAATGTCACACTCCCAAACCA